TGGTAAAAAGACAAAACAGAGAGTGAGAAAGCAGCTTGATGAATATGATGGCTTCCTTTCATTTTACCTGTGACATTTTCAGGTTCAAATACGCCACTATAAGTTCCTCACATCAGAGAATTTTGACCTCAGGCTGAGAGCTACAAATTAGATCTTCCAACTTTGGACCATCTTTTTCCTACTTGTGCCTTGTCTGTACCCCCTTGTCCCACAGTCTCACAGCTGTAAGCTCACTCTCCACACTGGCAGGCTTTCTCTGACTGAAAAAGTCATCCATCTACCAATTTCCCCCTCCTCTTAGGAGGTGAATTTCATCATCACTCTCCTACCCATTCCACTCAAATTTTTTTCAGAGTATCTAATTTTACCATTATCTACTTCTTTCACTCCAGCTAGCTCCAAAGGGGGTTCAGCTCCAAATTTCCACTGAGATTAGAACCTGTGGTTACCAGTGTCAACTATGGTCTATTACCAAAGGTATGGTATTGCTTAATATGCTTTATCTCTTAGATTTTTCGTTGGTTTGCTTGGTTTGGGGCCACACCCAGCAGCTCTCAAGACTTACTCCTGGCCCTGTGCTCAAAGGTCATTCTTGGAGAGGCTCAGGAGAATTTATGAGGTGCCGGGAATATTTTTTTTGAACCTGTATTGGCCACTTGTAAGGCAAACACCTTCTTCACTGAACAATCTCTCTGGTCCTTCTGTTTGCATCTTTAACCTAGATCACGATCACGATCATTCTGTTGTTCGTCGATTGCCTCGAGCAGGAACCAGTAACGTCTCCTTCCTCCTAGCCCCGAGGTTTTAAAAAGCGCCATGTTCAAGGCTCTTTCAGGATTAGGAAAATGAGACCCATCATTGTTACTGGTATTTGGCATATTGGGTACGCCACGGGGAGTTTGCCAGACTCTGCCGTGTGGGCAGGTCACATTCCGTAGCCTGCCAGGTTGTCCAAAGTAAGAATGAGATAATAAGATGTAGCACAGCCGTGAATGTGACCACGCGCTTCCAGGAACTGGGTTTTATAGTCTCTGGGTCTTGGCCATTGATGGGATTACATGGTGCCAGGGGGTCAGTTGGTGGGTGTGACCCCTGCCTACTGGAAGATGGTGGATCTGGGTGGAGGATGCTAGCCCCTATCCAAGCAGGCTTGGAGATCTCAGCCCTGGGACCCGCATGCCTTTGTTCCTCTGCCGGTACCTTCAGGCGTGTGGGGAGTGGTCTCAGCATGGTTGTGGCTGGTTCTGGAGGTCTTTGGCTGCTGGAGCTCTGCTCGGGGCAGGGAGGGAAACTCAACCCACTCCCCTCCAAGGGGCCCCGGTGAGGACAGCCAGGTGCGGGGGCAGGAGACTCTGCCCTGTTTAACCTAGATGACCAGTTGTTTTCTACTTAAAACTTTCGGTGAGCTTTGTACAATGTCTGTGCCCTCATCCCATTCCCACCTCTCAATTCCCTGCCTGCTGCTTCTCAGTCCCCCTTGTTTAAGTCTCTTCAACCTGAAATACTGGATTTCTGAAGTCCCCTTCTTTTCTCTTGGTATATTTGCTTGCTTTATTCATAAGAGACCTCTGGCACTATTCTAACTTGCCTTGCTAACTGTGTACCAATGACTCCTCAGTTTATTTTAGCTGAAACAATCCATGAGTTATTAAATGATTTTGGTTTGGATCCATACCCAGTGGTGCTCAGGAGCTACACCTGGTTTGGTGCTCATGGCTTGCTCCTAACTGTAAGATGAGCCATGGCAATGATGGGGAGCAAACCTGGGCTTCATGCATATAAAGCACATGTTCAGCTTTATGGATCTCAGTCTCTCTGTTTCTCTATCTCTCTGTCTCTCTCTGTCTCTCCCCCCCCTTATATATTTCTGTTTTAGGCTTAGAATAGACCTCAGAGGTACACAATCACATTCCCAATCATATTTTGTATTTTCACTAAAATGTACAAAAGATATCTGATACTTAACATGCTTAATTTGAATTTTTTATTTAATCACCATGAAATACACAGTTAAAAAGTTATTCATGACTGGGCTTCAGTAATACAATGTTCCAACACCTGTCCCTTCGCCAATGTACATTTCCTACCACCAATGTCCCCAGTTTACCTCCTTTCATTGCTTGCCTACCACCCCCGCCCCCTGGCCAGCCTCTGTGACAGGCATGTTTCTTCTCTCTCTCTCTCTCTCTCTGTCTCTCTCTTGCTCTCTCTCTCTCTCCTCTCTCTCTCTTTCAATTATGGTTTTCCATCTGTCATTGTCATAGGAGTCTTTTTTCTGTCCTAACTGCCTCCCCATCCCCTACTACTTGTGGCAAGTTTCCAACCATGGACCAGTCCTCCTCATTTCTACTCTCTTATATCTCACAGATGAGATGATTGCACTCATTTGAATTCTTCATCTCCCTCCACAGACCTGCTACTGTGCACATGTTCCCTTAGCACTAAAGGTTCTCCAACCCATGAACTTGCTCCTTGGATTCTTGCAAGTCCTTTCTGATATTTTCCTCTTCCTTATTCCCTACATTAAATATGTCCATCCACTGACCAAGACCTGACAATCCTAATTTACCCCTAAACACTTTTCAAATCCAGCTACTTACCTTCCTTTTCATTTCCACAAACCAAATCGCAGTAACCATCTTCTAGAAGCAAAAGTCTCCTAGATGGTCTCCCACACCCTGCTTTATCCTTCAATCCACTCTCCACATAGCCCCCAAAAGACATCTGAAAACATAAGTTTCTTGCTGTGACAGCCCTGCTAACAGCCTTTAGAGGTTTCCAGTTTCCACAGTTAATGTTTAAAGACTTTCCTGTGACCAATCAGTTTGGCCCTTGTAGCCTGACCCACCTTTCCTAGCTATTTCCAACCACTTCATCTTTTTTCAGCTTCAATCACAGGGATTTATTCTTTTTTCTTTTTAGGGTGAGGTGCTGGAGGCCTATACCCAGCTAGGTGCTGGAATGGGTTGGGTGGTGTCCCTCCGAGCGGTGTTCAGCAGACCATAAATCAAACCCAGATCTCCCACATGCAAAATAAGGACTTAGCCATTTGGGCCATTTCCCCTGCCTGGGAATATTTCTGTTTCCGAAACAAGCCAAAGCTTGTCTTTTCCTTTGATCCACACTGCTCACCCCCAACCCTTGCCAGTTTTATGGGCCACAACTGGGTGGCACTTATGGATCACTCCTGGTGGTGCTAGGGGGACAAACAGAGGTGGGGATCAAATCCTGGGCTTCTGAGTGAGCATGTGATCCAGCCCTTTGAGCCATCTCCCTAGCCAAACTTTCCCTGTTCTGAGGAGGTGGAATAAAGGGTTGTGCTGTGAGCCTCTTTAAGGGTCCTTGCCTGACATTTCCCCCCTTCAGTCTCCTTCTCCAATCCCACCTTGGGTTTTCCCTTCACCACATCCTGCTCCCTTGACCTAATTGCTGCCTCTTCTCCCTGTGGGAGCTGGAGCCCTTTGGGCAGACAGCAGCACCGTCCTGGTGCTGTGCTTTGGTCCACTTGGGCTGGCTGGTAAGGGAGAGGATGGAGTGTCAGAGTGTCAGGTGTTGCTACATCCCCACCCCACAACAGTATTACTGCCCAGCAGCTGGGCTCTGTCTTCTTGAGTGCCAAAGCTCCATAGTAACCCTCTTCAGTGGCTTCTTTCCAGGGAGCACCTGCTCTTTGGAGAGGGTGACAGCGTTGACCTAAATCGCTCTGTGACCTCTTCCCCTAAAGGCTAACGCCAGAGAGGAGCTGGAGGATGCTTGGGAGTGTGTGATGTAAGATCTGCCTACAGCTGTTATTTGTTTTTGTGCCAGCTCTCCTGAGGAAATCTTGGTGATTTCAAGACAAGCCCTTTCCCTCCTCCAGGCCCCCCATGGCCCATTGTTCTCAGTTGTTTTCATACTTTAGGGGCTTCACTCCAGGTTAATGGTCGAGAACCAATATGGAGACTTCAGACACTGTGGAGAAAGGGCTAGAATGAGGACCAGCTCCTAAGGCCACTGTTGAGTGAGAATGCCATGAAGTATCTGAGAAAGTCCTTGTTTTGTTTTGTTTCAGGGACCACACCAGGTTGTGCTCAGGGATCACTCCTGGCACTGCTCAGGGGACCTTAAGTGATGTGGGGACCAAAGAACGTCAGCCATGAGCAAGGCAGGTGCTTTATTTACCCTTTCCCTATTTCTCTGCCCAGTGGGCCTGGGCTTTATAAGAACCAGTTGGATTGGGCTGGTCCTCAGGGAGCAAACTGCGTTGGAGCCAGGCGATTGTGGAAGGAGAGCCACGGGCTGGAAGGCCCGGAGGACTCCCAGCTCTGAATCGCAAGCTCCTCCACAACCCTCAGTGTTTGTAGGAGAGGCGATTTCTTCCGTTCCCGGGTGGACGGTGCGCCTGTGAACACCTTCTGCCCGCGTCGTTCGTGCAGGGCCGGTCGCACCAGGAACCAACTCTGAAGTGGAAGATGGAAGAGCCTTATTATGTCTCGGTGGCGATTGCCTTCAGAAGAACCGATCTTTCCTGCTCTTTGTGCAACAAGACACACCTCTCGGAGGAAGGAGGCGGACAGGATTTCCATCATTACTACTGCCCTGTTTTAAAAAAAAAAAGACCAACACAGACACTTACAACCACCACCGTGTAATTACGCAGGAAAGGCGTCCAAACAGGATGAGTCCGAGCTGAACCCGGGGTGACCATCTCCGCACAGATTAGGAAAAGGAACCTCCCTGCCGTGAGCCGGCCGGGGGCCAACAAGGCTTCTCCAAGATGCGGCGGCAGGACGGTCACCTCCCTTTGAAGGGGGCAGGGCGGGGGCCCCCCCCAGTCCTCGCCGCGTGGGCTCGCCGCTCCTCCACCTCCTCGTCCCCCCGCGCCTCCCACCCCAGTCCTCCCGGGCCCGCCCCCCTCTGCACCCCGGTTCAGGGTTTTGCCCGCGCGGACGCGCGCGCGCCACGCCCCCGGGCTCGGGCAGGTGCGGGCGCGGGCGCGGGCGCGGGCGCGGCGCGGCGCTGAACTTGGAGCCTGGCGGCGGGATGCGGCGGCGGCCGCTTCCTGGTTCTGCGCTCGCCGACTGGGGGAGAGCGTGAGCCGGCGGAGGCGGGGCCGCGGCCGGCCGCGGGAGGCGGGGAGGAGAGTCTCGCGGCTGGAGCTAACCGGACGGGTCGCGCCGGCTCTCGGCCGAGAGGCGCTTCCCGGCCCTGGGAAAGGGGCGAGTCTCGCGCTCGGGCGGCCGGATCGGGCTCCCCTCCCTCCCCGGGCCGCGGCGGGCTCGGCAGCCGGCTCCCCTCCTTTCCACCTCGCGACGGAGAGGGTGGGAGGGAAGGAGGGGAGGAGAAGGTCCCTCCCGCGGGGAGGAGGGAGAATGGCCGGTCGAGGGGGGCCGGGGGGCCGCGTTTCCCGGGAGCCGCGTCCACTCGTGCGGCTGCCGCGCGGGCTGGTCTGAGCGGGGCTCCACGCGCTCCCCCCCCCCCCCCCGCTCCCAACCGCGAGCCCGGCACCTCCGGGGGGAGGCCCCCCCCAGCCCGGCATCGGCATGTCGTCCGGCACGATGAAGTTCAATGGCTACTTGAGGGTCCGCATCGGCGAGGCGGTGGGGCTGCAGCCCACCCGCTGGTCCCTGCGCCACTCGCTCTTCAAGAAGGGCTACCAGCTGCTGGACCCCTACCTGACGGTGAGCGTGGACCAGGTGCGCGTGGGCCAGACCAGCACCAAGCAGAAGACCAACAAGCCCACGTACAACGAGGAGTTCTGCGCCAATGTCACCGACGGCGGCCACCTGGAGCTGGCCGTCTTCCACGAGACGCCCCTGGGTTATGACCACTTCGTGGCCAACTGCACCCTGCAGTTCCAGGAGCTGCTGCGCACGGCCGGCGCTTCGGACACCTTCGAGGGCTGGGTGAGTCGCGGCGATGCCCCCTGCCCGTCGGCGTGGTGTGTGCCCCGCTCTCCCATCGTCGCTCGCGTCCCTCCAGTTTTCAAATCCCCGCAGGGCTCCCGCCTTGCCGTGGTCGTCCAGAGTTCCGCGGCCACGGGAACTCCCTCTCGACTTGCCGTCCGCGCCCTGGTTGGCCTGGGCACTGGGGGACGCCACCGCGCGTGGAGCGCGCCGGTTGCTCTCCCGGGAGCCAGCCTGGACCCCGGTTCCCACTCGGAACGGTCCTTTAGGGGCTTAAGGGATGAGGGTGGCGTGGACGCGAGGTCACTCCCCCTCTCCGTCCTGAGTGTGGGTCAGGCACCCCAATACCCCGCGCGAGAGGAACACGTGGGAAAGACATGGAAGGTGTGACGTGAAAGTGATTTGATTTGGGTAAAGCTCTTCAAGCGCTTCGTAGGAGAAAGCTATACATTCTCGCAAGTATTATTCATAATGTTTATGAATATGCCTTGGTTCAGCGGCTCAGACGTGTGCACGTGTTTCAGCATGCACATCCATTACATCCCCAGAGCTACATTAACCTATACTGGCAGGGCTCAGAGTGCCTGGGTCTGCTCCTTGGCAAAGCTTTAATGGTTAAGAAGTTTTCCACCGGAGATGAGGTTTGCATGTGTTTGCAAGCAACTTCAGCCCGATCCAGGGAGGTGTGAGGGCTGCAGTGAGCTTTAGCGTGTTTGCGGCTCCCGATCTGAAAGCTTACAAGAGCTCCCGAGCGATTTGTGACACCCACAACCCCGCCCCCGCCCCGCACCCCCCCCCTTCTCTGTCACCTGCAGGTTTTTCTGTGTGTTGACAATTACCCACAACTTCCCGCTCACCTCTGCTTTTTACATAGTTCCCACGAGAGGCAAACTTTCAGTTGTAAATAAATTAAAAATTGTAGAGCTCTTCACCAGTGCGAAAGGGCTTTTGCTTCTGAATCCTCCTCCTGCTTTTGTGATGCAGGTGTTAGCCTTCCCACCTCTACCTGATGAAATAATTGCAACGAAATGGTGGGGCTGGCAAAATGGAATCGTAAGCTGTGCTAAGACTCTGGGGCTTTCATTATTTAAGCCTGGAGCATGTCAATTTTGAACCTAGAAATGGGAATCAGTGTTGAAAACCTGTTTGAAGTTAACAAGTGGTGGAATCAGGTGGATAATGAGGCTCGTTTTGGTGTTGATTTTATACTTTAAAAATTATTAATAACAGTCTCCGAAAGGATCCATGACTTGTGAAGATAGCTTTTTTCTTTTAAAGAGAAGCCAAAAAAGGGGGGGGGGGTTATAACAGCAATAACAACAAAGAACATAACAACAAAGAAAACTGAGTTCATTTTCTTTAATATTGAGTTCATCTTCTTTCAGCTGAACTTTGTGGGATTTAGAAGTGTTAAGGCACAAGTAGAGATTGACATTTTATCCTGTATTTTGATATAGGGAATAGAGGTTAGCCGAGCCATTGAAATGCAGTGATTAAGTTCTACTTATAAGTTAGTTGGAGCAAAGGTTCTGAAGAAGGATAGTGCAAACTGGCCACAAGAGATACATCTTCCTGGAGGGATCCTGGGCTGGTCCTTCACATGCAGAGTTTGCATACTTGATCATCTGAGGAATTAGAAAAGTGCCCAGCTTAAAGGTTCTGGAGAGGAATCTCTGACGGGACCTCCGTATACCTAGTCTGTTAGGCTTCCCAGGTCATCCTATTCACAGTCAAGATTGAAAACCTGTCATCAAAGCAAAGACCAAGATGCTGGAAAGAGCCTGAGTGTGAAAAACTTGGGTTCCCTAGCAGGGTGGAGGTGTGCAGAACAGCTTTTGGTCCCACTGGATGAGCAGAGATTTAAATGTAAACTAAATTTCTCTAGTTTTGATGGCCTGATGTTTAAGAAGAGGTTCTGTAATCGCCCGAATTAGTGATATGAGGTATTCAATATAGTGATATCTTTTCTTCTTTGTTGTTTCTATGCTGACCTGGGATTGATTGCTTACTGGTGGGTGGCAGGTAGCTGAACCCAGTGTGTGAGATAATCCTAAGCAGTAGAGCCTGCAGTTTTGGGTGGCTTGAAACTAAGAAGATAGGTAGGAAAAATGGACAGGGGCAGGGTATTTCTATTCTAAAAATTACTGTTAAGAAAATTAATCTTATTCAGACAATGTATATAATGCATTTTTTTAAAAAAATTTTGCTTCATCTGGTGATACCTGGAGCTTACACCCGGTTCTGGACTCAGGGCTCACTCCCCAGAGCTTACTCCAAGTTCCAGACTCGGGGCTCACTCCTGGGAATGCTATGCAGTGCCTGGAATCAAACCTGGGTTGGCCTCATGCAAAGCAAGTGCCTTACTCATTGTAGTATTTTCCCGGCCCCTGTGGAATGCATGTTTTGAAAATAGTCCATTACAGATGTTTTTGAGGTTTAGGATTACATGTATACTTATTTTAGAATATTAAATTGCATAGTATATTAAGAAATTGAATTTACTGATTTGATTTAAATCACTGAACTTAAAAAATGCAGAAACTTAACCTTTGCTTGATTATGAGACAAAAACAAGATAACCATTATCATAAGAATAAAGCAAAGTTATTCATATGAGCATAATGTGTTTTCTAAATAGCTAGGAGGTAACTATTAGCATAACTTTTAGTACAACTTACTCAGCATTACCTTCTAAGCTTACTGAGAAAAGGGGTGAAATCTATTTTATGCAATGCATTCCTAGTACAGGAACAGTGCTGGACTGGATACTTGCAGACTTAAAATGTTCTTAAAATGGCAAGACATTGCTGAAGTAAATGAAAGATCAAAATAAATGGAGAGGTATTGCAAGATGCAAGATAAAGATCTCCATTCTTCCCATATTATTCAGTAGATTTAATGCAGTTCTAGTCGGAAGCAAGATTTGTTGGAGTGAGACCCTGTGAACGTGGGTGAGTCCCCTCCAACAGCGAACTCTGATGAGCAACCAAACAGATCGTGCACTCCATAACTAAATAAATACATCCCATGAGCAAGTGTGTGATCACGGCAACCAAGTATGTTTAACCCTTGTCACAGCAGTGAAAGAAAGAGAAGAGGGGGGAAAGAGCCTCAAAATTAGTCATCATCAAGGAAATGCAGATTATGTAAAAATTCGCTGGAAAGGCCAAAATCACAAAAACTATATCAGGCATTGGTGAGAAAATGGAGCAGTAGGAATTCATTCTCTCTCTCTCTCTCTCTCTCTCTCTCTCTCTCTCTCTCTCTCTCTCCCCTCTCTCCCCCCCCTTTTAAATCCTCCACCTATTTCCTACATTTTTTAAAACTTTTATTGCATCACTATAAGATACATCCTTACAAAGCTGTTCATGATTGGATTTCAGTCATACAATATTCCAACACCCATCCCTCCTCCACCAGTGTACATTTCCCAGCACCAGTGTCCCCAGGTTCCCTCTCATCCTCCCCATCCCCCCACCCCCTGCCCTTATGGCGGGAGCTTTTTCTTCTTGCTTTCTTGCTCTCTCTCTCTCTCTCTCTCTCTCTCTCTCTCTCCCACCCCCTCCCTTTTTGGGCATTGTGGTTTGCAATATTGATACTGAAAGGTTATCAGGAATATCCCTTTATCTACTTTTAACACTGAGATCTTGTGCAGCATGATCACTCCCAGCTATTATTGTCATACTGTTCTCTTCTCAAGTCCGCACACACTTGTGGTTAGTTCCAACCATTGGCTGGTCCTCCTAACCCCTGTTTTCCCTGGCCGTGGATATTAAACTTCTACCATATATAATTTTTTTTATATAACACATCATCTGCATGATAGACTACCATGCAGCTGTTAGGAAAAATGAAATTTTCCTATAAATGGAGAGTATCATGCTGAGTGAAAGGAGTCAGAAGGAGAGGGATAGATATGGAATGACTGCATTCATTTGTGGAATATTTCCTACTTTTTTTGGTAATATGCAAAGATTTTATTATGTTTTGAAAGGAAAAATAAACTACATGATAAAAAAGGTGAACATGCAAAATAAAGTAATCCAAGTGAATAATGAATGCATAAAAGATGCTTAAGCGGGCTGGAGCGATAATACAGCAGGTAGGACATTTGCCTTGCAGGCGGCTGATTCGTTAAGTTACTAGACATTTGGGAAATAAAAAGTAATAGAATGATGTAACATTATTTTACAAGTGTCTAACATATCTACAACAAGCAGTAATTCCTATCACTAGTGGTCAAACCATGAAAATATTGTACATATATATAGAAACATAATTATATATATATGCTGGAACATTGTCATAGTAGAATTCAAAGCAATGTAGTACTTTCCATTGAAACTTTCCACATTTACTGTAATTTAATGGTCCCACATTTGCATTCAGTTTCATAGAAATTAAAATGTCAGCTCATGAGAACACATATATACACACAGTAGGTGAGCATCTGAATAAATAATATTAGCTTATTGCATGGAACAAATTTCTTTCTTTCTTTCTTTCTTTCTTCCTTTTTTCTTTTTTTTCTTTTCTCCAAGAATTGGTTATTTTTTTTTATTAGTGAAAGACCATGAGATACAGTTGTAGACTTACAAGTTTTTGTGCTTGGGTTTCAGTTATACAATGATTGAGTACCCATCCCACGACCAGTGCTCATTCTCCACCCCCACCAATCCCAGTATTCCTCCCACCCCCCATCCCCCATCCCACCCTGCCTCTGTGGCAGGGCACTCCCTTTTGTTCTCTCCTTTTGGGTGCTGTGGTTTGCAGAAGAGGCATTGGGTGGCAGTCATGTTCGGTATATAGTCTACTTTCAGCATGCATCTCCCATCCTGAACTAAAGCAACCTGTGTTGGCGCGGATGTGGCGAGAAAGGGACCTTCCTTCACTGCTGGTGGGAATGCTGACTGGTTCAACCCTTTTGGAAAACAGTATGGACGATTCTCAAAAAATTAGAAATTGAGCTCCCATTTCACCCAGCAATACCACTCCTAGGA